AATGTAGAAGGATGTCTGTGTTTCAGTTCACATATTGTTCTGGGAAGTGTGAATTCGGTTAACTGAAACAAATTTCTTCCCCATTCTTACTAAGGGCATCTTGCCTAAGACACACACACATATACACACACACTGGAACTTTCCATCCAGGCTCTTAGTATTGCTCCTTATAAATGGGCTTTTAAAACTAAGTTTAATGTATTTCCATTCATTTGCTAGTCTTTCCCATAGGGCTTTATGCATAGGCTTTGGGAACACAGTATCTAAAAAGATAACAAAAATAGTAAATAATAACCTTGCCAGAAATCAAAATAAACAACACCTAGCTTCTCCTGAGGCACAGAACACTTACATCACCACTTGAAAATACTCAGTATTGCCTGTATGATCCCACAGGAGAAGGGGGCCTGCAAAGGAGCAGCCAAGTTTGCATAAAAGCTAAAGCCCAGTCCAGAAAATGGAATGCAATAAAAGTTCAGCTTTGGCAATCCATGTCCCTGTAGAAAACTCAGAGCCAGCAAAAACAAAAACAAAACTACATTTTGCAAGACTATGAATGGCCCACACAAATAGAATCTCCATAGATGATTCTCATGATGAGTGGTACTTCTCTTTCAGCACCTTCTGGGAATGTTCACATCATTACCATGGCTAGATTTGAAAATAAGGGCCATATTCGAAGCACTGTTAAAGAGTCACTGTTCTTTAGAGGGGTAGGGAACTGCATTCCTTAAACAGGTGGTTTACTATTGTCAGAAATGACCATCCCAATATGATCAATGGAAAGGACCTTTTCAATAGTGGGCTCCTTCAGGCAGAAGGACTGGAATGAAGGAAGAAAGGAAGGAAGGAAGGAAGGAAGGAAGGAAGGAAGGAAGGAAGGAAGGAAGGAAGGAATTATATATTCAACTAAAGTCAGCACTGAGTGCAAATTTCAAGCTGTGTGTGTGAAAGAGAAAGTAGTAATGTCAGAAAAACCCCACATTTGACATTTGTTTCTCAGATTTCTCTGAGACTACAGCTTCCAATCAAATAGATTTTCAGGAAACTCTGTGCCCCCACATATGCTTAGTAGAGACCAAAACACTTTTTTTTTTTACCATTCCTTAGCCAGTAATGAAAGAGGAGTTAATCAAGAGACTCTAGTTTTACTGAGGTTCCTTTCCTCTCTTTCTATTCATTTCAGCCTCTAATCCACCCATTGAATATGTAAACAAATCAGAAATTACAAGGCCATTGACCCAGGTTAACTGATCATGTTAATAAACCTTGGGAAGATTAGCAGCTTTATGGTCATGTTCCTATCACATAAACCAGCAGGTGCCCCTCTCAGTACAAAAATGGAGGCTGCCAAGGCTTTCTTTAGATTGTTCTGTCCAAAGAGAACTGCTGATTCTTTCAGCCTAGGAAGTTGCACACGCCCTATAAAGACACCCATTACTGCGTGGAAGGTTAACTCCTGAGAGGATTCACCCACCTAAGCTAAAGAAGTTAACCATAATTGGTGTGAGGTAAAAAAATAAAAAATAAAAAAGGGCTTTGCTCCATACCAAAAATATATTGCTTTCAATTTTGGCAACAGCATTAAAAACAGCCTTCAATGACTCAACGAATTTCATAGAGATACAATTAAGCCTCCCAATCATGTGGTGAAATCAGAGATATCCACATTTCACAACTGAAGAAAATTGAAGGAGAAAGCTTTAGCAAGTTGGCCAAAGAGAAAGCCAGCATTAAAACGAACACTGAAAAGTAGGAAATCCATTTACAGCTGCCCTTGCCCTGGATTGTCTGAACATGACAAAAATCTGGGTCAGTCAAATATTTTGTACTTCTGTAGGATTCTGTTTGCTTAATAAATGGAATGCAGAAATAAATCCTCCACTGCAAGGAGCACATGGAGCACATTGGTGTGCAGCACCACACTGCATCTACACTTCTTTAACTGGCCCCCTACACATGTCTAGACTTAACAGTGAATTGTGCATCATCACACAAAAGATGAAGGACACAGAAGATGGTGTCTTTCAAAATGATAGAGCCTTCTTCAATAAAGGGGTTTCAAGTACTAACCTGTAAAACATGTGCAATTTGCTTTTTTTTATGCAGCCATAAAAACTGGGAAAGAATTGAAAAACCTTGAGTATTGTTCTTTTAAGGTCTATGGATGAAAGAAGGAAAAGAAAATAAGGGCATGGGAAGTGACATCCAGTTCCAGCTCTTATCTGGTATCTCAGGAAAGGCTTTCTGATACCTCAGTGCAACAGAGGTGAAGTTCTGGGTGGTTTGTGTCAATGTAACAGCAGCAGCATTCTACTGATCTCACTAAATTGCCTGTCAGCTGGAACCCCATTATAAAATGTTCCTGCCAAATATTAGGAGTGTCAGGTTGTGCCAACATCGCTTGCTCCAGGGTAGCCAGAGTGAGTCACTGAACTCTTGAGATTCACACTGCAAGTTCTTCAAAGAAGCAGCTGCGGTTTTTGTATGCACAGCAGACAGCGCCTTATCAGTACTGAATAAATCATGAAAATATTGAAAACAAATGTTTTGACTTATTCCTGGCTAGAAGGTGTTAAGGGATGTCTGTTTATTTTCATACATATTCAATACTTTGACCTCTTCCCTGTGTCTTTGTGACATATTTACCTAGGGGTCTAGGCATATTAAAAACAAATGGAAATGAAAAGGAAGAGCTGCCTGGTCCTGCAGAGTTCTGGAGTGAACAGGAGAATGTTAAAGACCACCAACCAATGACTGAAAAGTAGATTGAAACTAGCGGTTTATCTTCGGTTTTTCTCCCCCAAATAACAGCCCAACTCTATATGCATGAAATTCTCAATCTGTATGTTGTTTCTGTTTTACAAACTCATAGAAAATGTACCCTTCTGTGTAGGAAATAACATGCAACCTACTACACATGTAATTGTGCATACATGTAAACATTTTGTAAGATATTACATGAACCCTAAGCTCCATCTCAGCAGTGGTCAGTAACTTGGACCGCAATCCAAAGTGCACTTACTTAAAAACTGGGTTCCGTTGAATTCCTTGAGGCGTATATCTTCAAACTTGCAGAGCTTTATTCCAGGGTTCATCATTTGAAACATACCCCTTCTTCCCAATTCCTGGGGATCCTAACAAATGTGGCACAATACAGAATTGACAACTAGTTGTGGGAAGAATGTACGGCACAAGAAACAGCTCTGGTACTGCAAAGGATGCTCTCAGATGATAGTTCTGTATTTGCACAAGTACTACATTCAAGATAACTTATTCAACCCTGAACCAGCTGAATAAAGCTTTGTGCCAAATAACATTGGGGGGGGGGGTTACACACTTTCATTTCATACATTATCATTATCATCATCATCATCACATGACCTGTTCTACCTTACCTTCCCCTACTTCCATGCACACAGCTGCAGAGGCAGTCATTTCTCTGTTCTGTTAATTCAACAATGATGTACCAGTCCAAACATGATCATTCTTCTTTTTGTGCTATGCAGACTACTATGCTATTTCAAGCTGCTCCCCTTTCACTTGATAAAAAACCATCTGCTACAGTGGAGTTAAGAGAGCACAGGATCAACTCTCAGCCTTCACTCAGAAGTATTAGGTCATTGTTACTACAGGCAGCAGAATTGGGATAGGATTCTTTTCTATATCATGCACAAAAATAGGGTAAACTACAACTAGATGAGAGGATTAAATGCCTCAATGCCCACCTCCCACCTAATGTTACTGTTTAAGGCTTTTGATTGTGCATCGACAGCCATAGCCCTATTAGTTCCATACCTGATGTCAGATGTGGGGCAGGGAGGCGTGGTTTTGGGGAAACAGCCTCTGGGACAAACTGTAACCTGTGCCAGGCTTACTTAGGACCACAGTTTCCCCTTCCCTGATCTAAGCATTGGAACTACGTATTTAATATTTCTGACAGTTAAGAACTAAAAATGTGCTTCTAAATGTTTTGAGCACAGGGGTAAATTACTGAGGCTGCAATTCTAAGCACGTATTTCTGGGAGTAAACTCCATTGAATATAGTGGGATTTACTTTTGAGAAAACATGCACAGGACTGCACTTCTTATCAGAAAATTGTTCTCTGCATATTGGTAGTGACAGGGGCTTCGCCTACAACAATTTAGCAGGGAGATGACTTCACTGGTGCTTGTCCCTCAGGTATTATGAAGCCGTCTCATGAGGATGGTTTCACTAACCTTACTTGACAGCAAATAATGCACAGCCTGCGTGTAGGCACAGCAGGGGCTCATGGCAAATTCTAGCCCTTTGGTGCTTTGCGCACCCAAATCACGCACAGCTTGAAAAACAAGGGCTTCTCTCCTGGAGGGTTTTGTGTGTTTTTTTAATGTAGCAGGGTCAACCCCACCACTGAGTATTCAGGCTACTGATTTGGGATTATCATGAAATGACAGCAAATTGTTAGCTCTTGTTCTTCTTATTGTTGTTATTATTGAGGGAGAGCCGCTTACAGCATTTTCTACCTCAGGCAGCACAATAGATTGAAGCCTTCCCGAATTTTGGGGTGTGGAATTGCTGTTCCTCCTCAGGCAGCAGAATGCCTTCGGACAACCGTGTGAATAGCCTTTTCTAAAGCCCTGCTGACTTTGCCTTCATTATGTGCATTTTGAAATATTGTGCATTTAATTGTTTTTCTTTTACATCTCTGCAGTTTAAGGCACTGCGGTTTTAGACTGTTGTAAGCCACACAGAGAAGTGGGGGAAGAGGACGAGAGAGATGCCTCGACGTGGAACAAAGCTACAGTAAGCTCTGGCAAAGCGGGCAACATGGGTCCAGCCACCCCACACAGCCGAGAGCAGAGAAAACCCTCCCAGGGTGCACCGCGGCGGCGGCTCCTTCCCCCGCCCCTTCCCGCTCTGCCTACCCTGAGTCATTCCATCGGAACTAGCGTAGTTGTAGTAACGGGGCGGGGCGGAAGGGAGCGGAGCGCTGCGCGGGTGGGAGGTTACGAGTTGAAGCCGAGGTGAAGCGCTGGCCCTGCCTCTGAGCTCGCCGCCGCTTCCTCCTCCCTCTCCCTTGCAAGGGCACGCGGCTTCTTTTGGAGCCTTTCCTTCCCGCACTTTCCAAGGCGCGCTGGATAAACCAGGAGATGGCAGCCCCTTGGCTAGGGGATGGGAGCAGAGCCCAGGAGTCAGGGGGAGGCCCTCGGCCAGACCCTTCTCGAGGAGGACGCCCGGGGGGACCCCGAGAGCCTGCAGTGCAAGGTTCAAATCTCCCGTCCCCTCCTCTCCGACGGCCTGTCAGCCCGCCAGTGACGAGGACGCCTTGCAGCGCGAGATCGAAGAGCTGAAACGCAAAGACCTCGCCCTCGATCAGGAAATAGCGCAGCTGACAGCTGAAGGATACAGCCCGGAGGAATTAGAAACCCACATTTCTCTGCTCCATGAATACAATGAGATAAAAGACGCCGGGCAGATGCTGTTGGGCAGGCTGGCGGTGATCCGAGGGGTGACCACCAAGGAGTTGTACCCTGAATTTGAACTGGACGTGAACGACTAAGTGCGACACTTCAGACCCCTAGACTGTCAACGTTAAGGTCCCAAGTGGTGAAAGCACAAGTCTTGCAAGTGCAGGTTTTCCTGGAAGCACTTGATGCAGCCAAAGCTGGACTATAATGATGCAGTTGCACCAGGGCCTGTGTCTGCAAGAAGCCCTCTTGTTGTCTGCCAGCTGATTGCTTTGCCTCTCCACCTACGTGTGCTTCGGTATACTCATACGTACAATAAATGAATAAACTTTAATTCGATATGAGTTTTCTGTTTCATGCATTCCTTTCGTTGGAGTTTGTGGGAAAGGGTAACCTTTTTGGGGGGGACAGGGCAAGGCCCCCCACCATCTTTATCCAGTCTTGGATGAACTAACAGGGTTTAACACTTTTTCTAAGGTAATGGATGGAGAAGCTGTTGAGCCTATTTCTCTGCTGAGAATTGACGCAGAAAGGCTTTTCCTGGCACCTCTGCCCTGGCCTTTGACACCTGAGACGTGCGTTGTCAGGAGCCACGCTAGTTGGGGGTTCTTTGTTATTCCATTGTAGCTTTATAAAACTATTTGTAAGCTTAGGGTGAAGGGGGCGAGTAATAATAATAATGGTTCAGGACAGGGATCGAGCTCCTCCCCGCCGCCCCACATGGAAGAGCCTTTCAGAGCCGAGATTAATAATCCTGATGTGTTTGTTCAGCCTCGGTTAACAAATCCTGTCACGACAACGCCACGCCCCCTCATATCACTGGAACAATGGCGGGACTGTATCATCGCTGCAGCCTGGCTGGCGGGGCCGGAGCAGGGAGAGAAAAGGATGACAGCGGGGAATTCTGCCCGGGCTCCTCGAAGCCGCGCAGGCGCGTTGCGTGTCCCCATTCGGAGCCCTTCTCAATGTTGGGGGGAGGGGGAGGGAGAGAGACACGTGACTGTCTAGTCCGAGGCCCAGTCAAGTGGAGTTAATTCCCTTCTGTGTTCGCAGGCCGCGGCATTCCAGGGCTGATTCTCCCAGGGTTTGGTTCTGCAGAGCAGCCAAAGGCGGAGCTCCCTGCGAAAGCTGCAACCCGAGCGGTGTTTCCAGCCGGAGCTCGCCCTCTCTCCCTCCCTCCCTCCCTCACACGCCACAGTTAAAGCTGCTTTTCTTTTTTTAGCCTGAAAACAAACCAGCCTCAGCAGCTCTAGGCATGGGGCAGGCAGGCAGGCGGAGGAGGAGGAGGAGGGGGAAATGTTGAACAGCTGGGCAGAGTCATCATCGCTCTGGGAAGGAAGGGCGGGGAGAGAGAGCGAAGGGAGAATCTGCAGTTAGAGAAAAGCCATCCAGAGATCACCCAGGAATGTGCTTTGTGTTTTGTTTTGCAGCCGACTTTCTCTCCCAAAATGGAGGACGGCAGCTGGGGGTGAACAGCAGACGTCCGCGCCGGGGGGAGGTGAGGGGCAAAGGGGTTGCGCGGGGTTTCAGAGGCAAAGTTTCCTCCGAAAAGGGTCGCAGACCTCAGCAAGGATGCCGCCTTGCCCACTCGGCGCCTGCTAAATCTGGGGACACGCGCGCTTCGCCTTGGCTTTTCAGACGACCACCAAAAGCTGGAAAGAGCCGAGTTGTGCCAGTGTGTAACCACACAAACATACACAGAACGGGAAACAGGCCGTCCTGGCTGGTAATATGGCCCCAGAGAGCCTAGCCAGTGGCTGTTTTTTATTCCCTGCCCCCCGCCCCATCCGCATTTTTGTTTATACTCCTCCCCTTGGTTGAAGCGTCCGGCTACAACACCGAGGGGCTTCTGAAAAAATCGTGGAAGTCACACCTAAAAGCGAACGAGCAGAGAAAGGGGCTTGGAGGACTAAGAAAGCGAGTTTAACAGGCATTCTAACATTCACCACACACACACACACACACACACACACACACACGTGTAGAGGCGAGGAGGGCAATCCATCCGATACTATTCGCCTCGAACCAAGCCTCCTTTGCCACAAACACGCACCATCTTTTTGCCTTTTTAAAAAAAATGCACACCAGGGAAATGCTCTTGCCTGGAACTGTTTTCGTATTTGACTACAAACAGATGCGCTTCTCCCCATGTGCTCTTAAAGGACTTCCAATCTAGCAGGAGAATTAATGTGTTTCACTGTAGGATGTCTTGCCTCCCTCCAAAAAGAAAAATGCCACCATCGCCATCCATCCTAGGCTACAATCCTATTTCCACCCAACTGTTAATCCAGAGGTAGTTTTCTTTAAGAGACATGCAAAGAGTAATCACTGGCCTTCGGCTCTTGTAACCGATATGAGGAGATATGTGGCTTTGATAGAAGTTACACGCTGTAAATGGAGAATAATGGCTCGACGCCAAGGGGGAAGCTGCACTGCTTTCAAGACTAACTTTGTAAGAGTCAGCATAACAGTGACACTCCAGTCCTCTAATGCAAATCAACAGGATGTGTCACTTTGGCACGGACAGGCCTGCCGGCGCACAATACAAGCAACCCTGTTATGAATGGGGTTTTTTGGGGGGGGGGAGAAAGAGAAACACATCAGCACGAAGAAAATGGCCAGAAGCAGGAGAGGAGACTTGCTAACCCCCTAGCACACTGCTGCTCTCAGGAAGCAACATGCCTCCCTTTAAAAACAAAGAACAGGCTAATTGGAGAAGAAAGCTCAAGGAGATGTGCAGCTTCTCTGACACAGTTGCAGATTGGCTCTCAGTGCAAAGAGCATGAAATCCAGAAACCTGAAGCACAAGGAATGGGCTTTATAGGATCTGAGTGACACTTGAGCCACATTTCTATGCAGGGCACTGCTTTGCTGTTTCCGTTTGTTGTAGCCAGAATAACTAGGACCACACCACCTGATTCAGCACCACCACCTCAAAATTAGCCCATCCCTCTTTACTGCAGATATCTGGTGTGTTTTCCATAGCTTCTCAGCTAAGGAATTTCTGAACATAAAAAAAAAATGTCTCCCCTGATACGCATGTTCTGCCTTGTTCCCGAAAATCCCCCAGCTGCTTTAGGACATAGCAAGGAATAAGCTGCTCTTAGTTACCACCCCCAAGCAAAGAAACCCTTAGCATTGCAGGGGAAATGAAGGAATCCCAGTAAGTGACACACGCACACCCTTCTCCACCAAAAAGAAAAGATGATGGCATGACTTTTGAAAAGCCTCTGCAGTGAGGATCAAAGAAAGCTGGCTCATATGCCCAGACTAGCTGCTTAATGGGTCAGAGTAAAATGAAAGGTCACATGGCTGCAGAAGACCTCCATACAACAAATGCCCTCTAGCTATGGTTAACTTTAATTAACTACAGTATTACAATTCACAGCAAGCTTGTTTTTCACACATGCCCACTGTCTCTTGACAGTCTCCTTGTCAACAGAAATAGGAGGGGGAGGGGGAAGGAGTCAGACTACCTTGAAAAAAATGAATAAAGGGGGAGAAACCCTGCAAATTAAAAAGAAGTCTCTGGGGAATATTTGGGTACAATAAATCCACCATAGGGAGGGGAGGAACTTGCTATATTTCTGATGACATATTGTTGACTGATGCTATTATTTCTATGATGACTTGTCCATTTAAAAGTCTAGGATTAGGATAAACATACAGCACAATCCTATTCCTGTTTACTCAGAAATAAGAAGCAAGTATACAGTGAAGCTTACTTCCTAATAAATACCTGTATTTATGTTTGCAGCCTTACATATATATTGCTCATTGATCACTTAAATAATTTTAATCCATATATATATTCCCGTATGCTAATCACACATTTTAAAAAACTTTTTATTTTTTAACAGAACAAAACTTAGGATTCTTATTTTGTATATGTTTATTCCAATCTAAAAAGACTTCAGTAGGTTATGAGATTCATAGCATTAATATAATCCTTTGCAGAAAAAGTAAAAAGAAAGTTAATATTTTTTTAAAAAAATAGTAATAACATAGTAGTATCCAGAGGTGAATCCCAAACAGGCAAAGAAAAACACTACAAAGAGGCTCAGCTCTGGTAATCTAGGTACACAGTAAAGTCCTGAACCTTAGAGCTTCATTTATCACTACTGACAGGAACAGAAACCAAAACTGTAATACTAGCAGTAACCAAATACAAACTCAAAGGCCAAGAGGGCTGCATTAAAATGTCTTTTCACATCTGTTTTTCAGTGCACCAAAAGTGCAAATGCTACTGGCTGCTGGCAACCTATGGCACAATGGACTGGGGCCCCCAAAACATTGTTGATGTTTCGGTGTGAGGATTGTTATGTACCTTTTCTCTAGTTTGCTTCACTGAAAAAAAGGCAAAGTTCAGGCGAGGTTTGTTTGCATTTTCCAGCCAGTCAGAGGGGCCTGTGTGTGTTTACTCTGCCTGTTGATCTGGTCACCCAATAGGCATTCTACCAATCCAGATCTCCTGAAAAGGCAAATGTTACTTTCACAAACTTAGCAAGAATGAATGCATTTGTCCATTGCCAGGAGGAATGCAGTTTCATTTACTGAAGTCAATAAAAGCTCTCCAATGGGGTGGAGGAAGAGGAAGCAACTTACATCCCCTATTGCTTACCAAACACAGATAAGGATTTATTTGATTAAGAACTATTTTCAAGCTGCCAAGTTACATACAACTAAAATACATGCTACATAAATCTGGCATATCACCAATCCTCCTTGTACTTAGGCTGGTGTGTATCATCAATGCCAAAATTCAGTGGAGACCTTTCCTGACCCTCCTCTGCACTACCTAATTAGCTAGTGCCTAAAGGCTTTGTGATTTTTTATGAAGTATGATATATACATGAAAATAGTAACATCCACAATCACCACTGCCATCACCCTATGTATGTTTACTCAGCAATAGTTGACTACATTCACTGAGACTTACTCTTAGATACTGTGCATAGGACTACCATTTTAGTACTGTAATGTTATTAGATACTGTTGTGTTATTCTTTTTAATGAAAAAGGCTTGAAACCAATTCATGCTATAATCCTACACACACTTATCAGGAAGTAAGCCGCACTGCACTCAGTGGGACTAACCTCTGAGCAAACATGCATGAAAATGTAGTATTAGTATTTAATTCCATTGCATTCCTCACACAAAAGATGTCTCTTGTGGAACAGAAAATCCTTGCAGCTGGGAAGGGAAAATGAAAGGCAAGAATGGTGAATAGGAAATGCTTAGTCAGCAACTGTTCTGTCAATATTAAAAGGTGAAATGTAAGCAGGCACAGTGCCAATGGCTAGATATGTTAGATAGCCTCATTAGGTAAATCTCTAGTTGTGT